GACTCAACAAATCAAGGACCCCCATCGAAGGCAATTTTGCCAGCAAAATAGATTTAATTTGATGGTAACTGTTCTGAGAATATATTAACTCATTGAGTGGCAGCATTCTGCCTAGACTTGAAACAAGTCGACCTCGAACGAAACGCAAGCAGCGAGTGAGCCGACGTTTTGTTCGAGGTCGACTTGTGGCAAATCTACATTCTGCCCTTGAGTAAAATTGTCTGGCACCAGACGGAGTAATATACCAAAGTAGGGCACATTGCCAGTTATAAAGGGTTAAACAATTTTAAAAAAAATTTGCAATGGTCTATATTCAAAAAGTTCTATTTGTAAATTTTAATTGTTCTTAAACGTCTTTGGCTTAGAATGGGTACACCCTCCAAAGGTGTTTATTTACAGGGTCCAAAGGTGTAAATATACACTGTGCAAGGTGTTAATATAAACAACAAAAACAATTTATATAATTAAATTTTATTAAATAAAATGTGGAATATCCTACAAATTGCATTACCATCCCAAAGTGTACATAATTTATCAATATAATTAGGACTTAGAAGCTGTTCACATGAGTTTGACTCTGACCCAGCATCCTTGGCTAGCTCCCCTTGCCCGATCACAAGTAGAAAACCTTCAACCCCCTCTGACAAATCAGTCCAGATCTGCCCAAGAGGCAGGATTTTCTGGAATATTATTAGCAGTGAAATTGTTGCATATTTTCAAGCATGCATTGTAACCTGATTTTAAAGCCTGTTTGAACATCAGTCATTGTGGCAATGGCATATGAATACAAGGTCCAGCCATATGAATACAATCTTAAAATATCATAAAAACAATGCAATTTAAGGCCAGACAACCCAACTCCTGCGAACAGCCCTTTATTACACATTCGAAGCATCTCTTGAGGCATCAAAGTACTGTACATGCAGGCACATGGAATTACATATGAGTACGGTATGTGACATAAACCCACCATTGCACAACTTTGTCTGCAACAATGCAAATACAACAAATGCAAATACAATCAAGCTGGAAACGGATTTTATCAGTATTTTGATATATACATTATGGCTCATGTCTAAAGACACCTGCACTTTCATATTGAAATTGTTCTAATATCATCCAAACAAAACACATCAGAAAACTCTAACATCAGCCAAATGAGCAAATCATTTTTTTTAACACAATTTATGGTAAAATGAAGCAACATGTAATAGTATCTGAAACAAAACCAAATCACATATTATTCAAAAGTTGTAAACACTGTTGCATATATGATATAACAAAATATCGTCGCATTTCCAGTGGCAACTAACTATAAATTAGGCCAATTTAAACTCGACTATGAAGAATATCAAAAACTAAAGGTCGTGTTTCAGTTTATAAACCCAGACTTTGGTTTTATAAATATAAACATTATAAACAGAACGGTATTAAACGCTATACGAAGCCAAATATGAAGGCACATTTTGCCCTAAATACTCGGTCAGAGCCTCAGAGGTGTGTTCTAGTACACAATTAATCTTCTCTCACAGTTTAAAACAAACAATAATACTAACCTTCGACAAATTGTGTATAAATCTCAACGAATTTAACCATTTTGCCACAGATTTTGCCAAAAATATTTCTTAGACGGACAAAGTATTAATAATGATCACTCTTGCATGAAATGTTAATTTATCCCAAAGTTTGAATAAATTAATCCAATATTGCATTATTTGCATAATAATGTACTTGTCATTGACCAATCAGAATACATAGAAGACCGGCCGGTGCCAGGGCCTTTTCCCGCCTTCCCAATGACAAAAAGGGAAAAGCCCTGGGAACGAGGTTGGATTATTTCCGCACGGTTTCATCTACAGGTGCCCCAAGCTCTTACCGAAGGTAAATGCAAAGGGGGGGGGGGGGGAG